ATCTGTTGGTTCTACACTATGCTGCCATACCTGCAACTCACCTGTGAGTTACCTATTTAAACACTCTGATCATTAACCCTTCCCCCTATCCCAAACTAACGTTACCACTATGACCTACTGCTGACGCCAGCTGGTTTACTCGCAGATCTATTTCTCTGCACAGCTTAGGTCCTCTCAGGATGCGTATGCCTAACATATTGTGAGCCACAGAGCTCCGGTTAACCTCAGAAGTAATTCCTACCAGAGTAGTCATGTGTCCATTTCATAGATTCATCTGAATTAGACCTTTGTCGATGTTCGTACAAACCCAGTTCCTGCTGTGGCCGTCTACCAGATATAGTCCTCCAAGTTCTAGCTGGATGTTTTATGAGGTAGTTCCTCACAATCTAGTTAGCTGCTAAGCCAAGTTGGTGTTGCTGCTAATGCAAGGCACCAGGCTGCGTTACACAGTAGACTTACTCGCACCTATTGATCTTATATCCTTCGTACTCAGGTTTTTCACTAGATCAAGCATTAACTGGCTTGACCATTAAAATCTGTACTACTTTACCAAACTCGGGATTTCTACCATGCAGGTCCCCTGCTCATAGATCCTATTAAGATTTATTCGCATAATGTAACTCGAGTATTGCGTCATACTTCTAATGTCCAATTGACATTGGTGCAACATGATTTACAGGATTGTAACCCTCAGAAACGAGCAGAGTTTACCGTAAGTTAGGTACAAAGGTCTAGGTAATTATTCAAATTCATCGACAGTAGGATTTAAACCTCAGACCTCTTGCATGGCAGTCTGGCAACCTAACTACTATACTAAGATCGCCAGACCTTCCTTGAATAATTTCTCTACTATACTTTTTGGTTATTTTCTTAATGAAGTGCTTAGAGCTTTCTGTATTCTACATATTATTTTGATCTTGTTTTGTACACTCTGGTTTCTTCTATCTTTAATCTGTTTTTTTCAAGTAACTTTATCTTTTTAACCAAATTCTCTAGGTTTTTTCCTGATTACTTGTAATTTTTTCAGTTTCTGTTATGTATGGATTCTTTCTATTGGCTGATATGTAATACATCTTGTTAGTTTCTAAATCATACTTGTTTGTTTATACTGTTTCTATATGTTTGTGTTACAACAACTGATCTACAATTCAGAGTGTTTCCAAATCTCCAAAATTTCTAAGAAAAAATTTTTTTTCATTAAATTTTTCTGTTCCAAATTTTGTGATAGCCTTTCTAGTTGTTTTTTGTTCTCATTTTTTTAATACAATATATGTATTTTTTGGTTTTCTTTCTTTTTTCTTAATACTTTAGATACTGTTTTTTAATAGCTTTTTTGAGTTATCTTAGTTTTTCTCTTAGCTCCAGATTTAATCAAAATGATCTGCGGAAAGAGTTTGTTATTTTGTATGTAAGATTTTATAATTATATGATGAGTATATAACAAGTTATATATATAATTTTAATTATTATCTAATTTAAGTAGTTCACTATATAGATAATTAACTATTTGTTAGTTGTATACTATGTTACTATACCTGCAATTTACTTGTGAATTACTTATTTAAATACTCTGATTATTAACTCTTCTTCTTATTTCAAACTAACATTACTACTATATCTAACTACTTAAGTTAGCTAATTTGCTTATAGATCTATTTATTGTATAACTTAGATTCTTTTAGAATATGTATTATCTAATATATTATAAATACACAGAGCTCTAATTAATCTTTGAAGTATATTTACTTGAACAGTTCATATCTATTTCACAGATTTATATAGCTTAAACTTTTGTAATGTTTATACAAATCTAATTTCTACTATAGCTCTCTACTAGTTTTATGTTTACTAATCTTTTTAGATATTTCATAAGATAGATTCTCCTAATCTAGTTAGCTACTAAGCTAAGTTGATATTACTAATTCTTCTTGTAAAGCAAACTTATTTGCATCTAACTCAATTTATATTTTCAAAGTGATAGTTTTTTTTCTAGATTAAGTATTAGCTAGTATAACTATCAAAAACTATATCTGAAAAGTAAAATAGATATAAATTTGCAAAGATCTGTAAAAATACAAAAAAAGCACAAATTTTTATAAAAAATCTATGAAATTTTGTAAATTTAAAGATCTGTGCAGAATTTTATTTAATTTTTGTATCTATCAGTAGCAGACCTGAAAATTTGCATAGATTTTTATTAAATTTATTATTTAATTTTTTGCAAATCTATACAAAATAGTACTAAAATTGATTTTCTGATGTATATTACTTCACTAATTCAGGATTTCTACTATGCTTCTATAAATCCTATCAAGATTTATTCATACAATATTATGTTATATTTTTAATATTCAGATAATATTAATATAATATAATTTATAGAGTTACAACTTCAGAAATAAATAGAGTTTACCATAAGTTAGATACAAAAGTTTGAGTAATTATTCAAATTTGTTGATAGTAAGATTTGAACTTCAGATCTTTTATATAGTAGTCTAGCAATCTAACTACTATACTAAGATTAGCAGACTACAATTTGAATAAATTTAGTTTATAGCTATTATTATTATTTCTAGAATATTTGATAATTTTTGCCCACTACTAAATTATTTCTAGTTTTATCTAGTAAATTATCTAATCTCTTAAAAACCATATTACTAAAGTTGTAGATATTAGAATATCAACTAACAAAAAATAGTAATATATTAATATTATTATTTAAATTTTATATGATATAAGATAATATAAAGAGGTAGCTACTTTAAATATTCTAAATATTTGCAACTATATATATTACTATCTTCAGATTTTTAGTTTAAAAACAATAATATAGTTTTTAAAAGATTAGATAATTTATTAGATAAACTAAGAATAATTTAGTAGCAAACAAAAATTATCAGATGTTCTAGAAATAATAATAATAGTTAAGCTTAATTTGATTTAGCTTAATATTAAATTATTATTTGATTAGTTAAATTCAGATTTTTTATTTTTATTTTTATTTTTTTTGTTGTTAAGGCAGCTTACATTGCTGAAGGAATTTTTATTAGAATTGTCAACAAGATTATATATTGATAATTGCTACTATTTGTAATTACATAAAGAGTATACAACAAGCTATATGTATAACTTTAGTCATTATCTATTTTAAGTAGTTCGCTGCATAGGTATTAGGCTACCTGATTGGTTCTATATTATGCTACTATATCTGTAACCCGCCTGTGAGTTACCTATTTAAACACTCTTTCATTAACCTATACAGATCTAATCTAACATCACTGCAATATCTAACTGCTTAAGCTAGCTAGCTCGTTACAGATCTATTTATCTAGAATGGCTTAGGTCTTCTTGAGATACATTGTACCAGATGCATTGCTAGTACTGCAAAGCTAGTTAACCTCAAAGCAAACCTACTAGAGTATTCCATACCTATTTTACAAATTCACCAAGTTTAGACCTTTGTAGATGTTCATACAACTTCAGGTACTACTGTAGTCTTCCACTAGTTAGTTAACCTAGTCCTTTTCTAGTATCTAGCCGGTCTCAGTTATCTTTCGCCTAGAGACTTCAAAACTTTTTACCTTTATTAAACTGAGTTTTCTTCTCAGATCAGACTTTAGCTAATGTAGTCTTGTCAGAAGGCTGTATTACTTCACTGACTCAGGATTTCTACCATGCAGATCTCCTGCTTGTATATCTTATTAAGATTTTTTCATGTAATATTACGCTATATTTCTAAGTTCTGATCAATTTGGTACAACTCAATATACAGAGATATGCTCTCAGAAACAGACAGAGTTTACTGTAACATATCACAAGGTCTAAGAAATTATTCAAATTCGTTGACAGTAGGATTTGAACCCTAGACCTATTATATGGCAGTCTGACAACCTAACTACTATACTAGGTCACCAGATCTTATTTTTATTTTTTATTATTAAGATAACTTCTTTTGCTAATTAGATTTTATTAATTTGTTATTATAGAGTTACTATAGTAGTAATCTTCTAGAGTTTTATAGTTATATTATAAGTATATAATAAGCTATATATATAACTTTAGTCATTGTCTAATTTAAGTAATCTGCTATACAGATGATTGATCATCTGTTAGTTTTACACTATGCTACTATATCTGCAATCTGTCTATGAATTATCTATTTAAACACTCTAATTATTAACTCTTTCTCCTATTCCAAACTAATATTACTACTATATCTGATCACTTAAGTCAGCTGACTTGCCTATAGATCTATTTACTATATAACTTAGGTCCTTTTAGGATACATATTACTTAATATATTATGAACGTATCGGCTAAAATGTTTATTTTGGTCTAAAATTTGCACCCCAAATTATAATAGATTTTACATATCAGCACCCCAAAAATTTTTAATTTTGTCACCAAAAATAAAAATTTTATAGTAAGTTCTAGCGTCAAACCAATGAACCCACCTAGGTAACCAATGAACGAAATCGCGCACAAGTAAGTAAAGACAATGAAGCTTATAGCAGGAATTTACATTACTTACATATATAACATACTAAAAATATATTTTTTATAAAAAATAAGCTTTTTTTAATGCCTCGATCAAAGTATAATAAACCTTTTGAATGTACTATTTGCAAAAAAAAATGTTACAAATCTGCAGCAGGGCTTTCACGACATGAAAATGCAGAGCACGGTAATTACATTATACCTCCTATTCAACACTATATTTTGCCTGAAAATGCTATTAGCGAATGGAAAGAAATGCTAGTACATGCTATTCACAAACGACTTCCTCTAGCTTTTCGAAAAACTGGGAAACAAGTAATCAAATTTCCATGTATGGAGGGACAATATTTAGGACTTTTCAGGCAATATTTAACGCGTGTATTTGTTCATAAAAGAGCATATAAGTGCATTTTTTCGGGATCTGACGCATATCAAACTATTAGTTCGCTATTAGGTGATCAATGTTGGGGTGTACGACATTATAAGTGCAACCAAGTTTCTTACGTTGTGCTGTTTATTCAAACAACTAGTGAAAACTCAGTTCCGGCTTTAGACGCTCTAATTGCAAAAAAATCGGCCAAAAAAAAAAAAGAAAAACAAGATAATAGTGGTAAAGAGAGCTTTTCTTCTGTTGTAACTTTGGAAAAAAATACCATAATACAGCCAGAATTTATAGTAGATTGGGTTCGAGAAACAATTAAAGACTTTAGTGGACATCAAGTTGCTTCTGGTTATATTAAAATACAGTTTAATGTAGAAAAAAGCTTTTTTACTGACCCCAATACAAATCCATATAATCAATAAAATGAAAAGAATATAACTACCAGGTTGATTTCAAATCATGATCGAATTTTAAAGTGTTTTTTTTTTCTTTTTTTTTTGTCGATTTTATAGGACAATACGCAGATGAATTTCTGGGGGTTCTTTTGGCTAACTGACTAAGTTGGTAAGTTTTATCAGTTTAGATAATTATGTTTTTAATCGGCTAACATCGAGAATCGTGCTAACTTTTTTGAATATCTATAATAGGCAAGGTAAGAAACGGATAGATTCATTCTCATCAAACAAAAAATCAGATTCAAAGTCGTATTCAACTGATACAGTAATTTGATGAACTTTCTCTTTTTGTTTATGGTGTTTGTAGATTAAATAAGTCGTTAGAATTGAACCAAATAATGTCTTTGCACTATGTATATGGGGGCACTTATTGTTTGATAGAGAGATATGAAGAATCGCTTGTAGATTTTAATAAGTCATTGGAAATTGAACCAAATAATGCAACTGCATTACGTAGACATGGTATAACTTACCATCTTTCATTAAACCAAAAAGTCTCGCATAATGATTTTGCAGAAATGTTTAGGTAAGGAAACAATAAGCTTTATCAATATAGAAATTATACATAGGTGTCTACTATTTTGCTCTTAGCATATTACAACTAAAAAAATTAGTTTAGATTAATTTTCAAAAAAAAAAGGTGATTGTACACCAGAATATGTTTATTAACATATCTAACTATTGTTGAATAGGTACACAACTCTTACTACAAATTCTCAAGCTTAAAATGACTCAATTTACTTTCTTTTCTCTCAAAAATGCCTACCGTAAACGTAGATAAAAAAGAACTTTATCAAGCTCTTGGAAAGCAATATAGTAAGTGGA